CTGGCTCAGCTCCAAGCTGGGATTGCTCCTACAGAGCCACTAGAACATGATGACAAACGGACATGAAGAGCAGGGATGAAAAAACAGTGGCCTGGGGCTGCCAGGCTCCTGATACAGAGGGCTGTTGGCATGGCAACAGGCTGAGAAAATCCCCCAGTAGGTTATAGCATAAGTAATCTAATATGCAATCAATATAAGGAGCTTGGAGCAGCCTGGGCTGCTGGGAGGTGTCCCTGCCCATGCAGGGGTGGGACTGGATGGGCTTTAAGATCCCTCCAACCCAAACCAGTCTGGGATTCTACGATCTGCAAAACAAAAGGTAAGTTTGAAAACACAAAGGTTTGTTGTTTTTTTTCCCCCCAGAATTCAAGGAAGGCACCTCATGGGTCTTCGCAGGCAAGTGCAAAACAGACCCCAACCACTCCCTGACACAGAGAGGAGGTCAGATACAGCTCAGGCAGGAGTCTCCTGCCTATTAGAATAATAAATTCATAAAACCATCTGATTGACACAGGTGGTGCCATGGGGAAGCCAGGTCAGCACCTCATGGCGTGACCTGCTGCCAAGAGCAGGAACTCTGTGTGTTTCCTGCAGGGCTGTAACCAGCACCACGGAGCTGGGGCTCCTGCTGGGACCACCAGGCAACCCTGTGACTCAAGTGATAAATGACAGCAAGATGTAAATGACTTCGCTTGGACACGGAACCACAGCAGGCAAGAGTTTCAGCCACTGGTTTGTCCTCATTTTCCAGTTTCTTCATGTAACTTCTCAAAGGGTGGGAGCTGAGCAGATGCTTAAGGGACCTGCAGGGGGCTGCTTGTGAGCCAACCAGCTGACTCAAACCCGGTTTGGTGGCACTAGTGCTGGAGAAAGGGGTTCATAAAAGCCCTCCCTTCCCAGCTGACATGTCTGATCTCTCTATTTGTGGCTCTTTTGAGCCAGAGGACAAAGTGCCCAGAACAAGGGCACCTGTGGGAAACCGCGGGGGCTCGGGCAGGAGCCTCTGCCTGACAAGGTGTCCCCTCCTCCTTCCCCCTGGCCCTGGGCCTGGAGAGATTTTGCTGGTGATGCAACTTCCATTATTTCCATAGCAACCAGCTTTTGTCAGGTCTCCAGCTTGGGGATTTTTGTTTAACAGCTCCATTTGGCAATTCAGGCCCCAGAAGGAAGCAGGGCTGCGAGAGGAGAAAGTTCTCGTTCAGATGCAAAGTAGCTGCAAGAACAGCCCGGGGGGGGCAGGGGTTGGGGGGGGAAAATCCCTGGGTCACGTCCCTTCTCATCTTTTTCATCCAACCCTTCCTCCTTGGCCTGGTTGTCAGTGTGGAAGAGCCTCATCCAGTGACACCTGTGACACGAGAAGCCACCAGAGGCGATGGGCAAAGCCGAGCCCTGCTGGCCAGGGCCTGAGCCAGAGCTCCCTCTGATCAATGACAAGACCTTTCTTTGCTTCAGCGGGGGCTTTGGCTCTGTCAAAAACACCCTGGGGTCTCCTGGGAGGGCTTTGGATGCCCCCAGCCCCTTGCTGGGCCAAAGAGGTCCTCTGTCCCCCAGGCAGCATCAGCTCCCATCACGTTGTACCTGAGCTCCTGAGAAGCCTAAAATTCAAGTCTAAAAGGTGCCAAGAGGGGGCTGGTGTTATCACCACACCAGGAGGAGATTCCCAGGATACCAGCACTGCTGCTCAGCACGGGGTGGAGCAAAACCCCAGCCCAAGGGGTCAGGGCTCATCCCTTCTGCCCACCCACCAGCACAGGGGCTGTCACTGCTGGGGGGTGACAAACACTCCGGGCAGGTTTGCTGTCCTGCCACCCCCAGCTCCATCCTGGAATACAGGGACACCAGCTCATCCCTTGCTCTTCCACACAGAGGAGTCATGGAAGGCTGATGACCCTCACCAAAACTTCAGCCTAGAGGGTGCATTGGCCTAATTCCCAGGGCCTTTTTAATTCCACATTATCTGTAGCTTTGGTCCTGTGCTGCGGGAAGGGGAAGCAGGCACGGGCTGCAGGAGATAAGCAGAACAAAGAGGAGCAGGAGGAGAAGCAGGAGGAGAAGCAGGAGGAGAGTTGGGTTCAGTTGGAAGGGTCCCCCAAGAATCATCAAGCCCAACTGCCTGACCACCTCACTTCAGGCAGGGTCTTTACCTCATTCCAAGGGTGGAGATCCCCTGGTGCCAAAACCCCAGTGCCAAAGCCTCAAGTTGTTTGCCTGGGGAAGTTTGGGGCATTCCATAAAGTGTGGAGGGTTAACAGAACCTACTGATTAAACAACTCATGTCCTGCTGGGGGGACTACAGGGGCTGGGCTGTGGGCATGGAGAGGTGGAACAATGAGCTGCCAAACAGGAACAGATGAGAAAGCAACAAGGTTCAGCTGCCAGGTTCAACCCAAACACTTCCCAACTTCACAGTTTCCCCCTGGTCTGTGTGAGAGCTGCTATCACCCCCCCTCCTCTCCCTGCTTTCCCAGACCTGCCCCCTTCTCCTGCAGAGGAGGGATAAATCCTGCTCGGCATCTCTCACCTCCAGCAGCTGCTGTCAGCTCTGGAATTTGCTCCTGATTTATTCCACACTGGAGAAACACCTGACAAAAGGAAGCAATGATACAGCTGCTGAGGGAGATACTGCTTTTGTTTTGTTGGTTGGTTGGTTGGTGTTTTACCCTTCCTACTTGGCCAAAAAGCTCTCTCAGGAAATTGTATTATTGGCCATGGATAAAATGAAGTACCACTAATGGAAACCTAATTGATTTTTCATATTTGTTGACTTGCAGCAAAGAGATGAAGGAAACCAAAGGCAGTTTGTAACCTTGATCAAGTAAGAGAAAAAAGGTCTAGAGGCATATGACAAAATCCCACCCTGCTTCAGCTGTTGGGAGACCTTCCACATGTTTTTGCCAGGTATGGGACAAAATCCTGCCCCAGCTATGAGGTTTTCACTGCACTAAAACCCTCCTCATGGAGGGTGCAAGGAGGTGGGAGGCCCATGAGCTTTTCCTTAATGAGAAAAAGCAGATCAATGGTATCCAGTAAATGAGTAAGAGACAGTCAGAGAACAGCAAAATCCTTCTGTGTGCAATAAATTAGATGAAGGGAACAAGAGACTAAAAATTTAATACAGAGAACAGAAGCTGCAGCAGATAAACAAACAAGCAGCACAAACTTTTAACACTACAGAGAAATAAGCATTTAATTAAAAATCCTGTTGCTAAAGAAGCAGGAAACATTCCCTCAGCTTCACAGAAGCAGACAGAGATAGCAAAGTCTAACCAGCTGACTCCTAGTTAGGGAGACCTGAGGGTCAGGCTTAATTAAAACTCAGACCAGCCCACCACGGGCATCTGTTGTACAGAATAAAATCAGATTCCCAGCTGGAATCTGGTGCCTTTGGCTGGAGAACAAGGCACATCTCAACTCAAACTGTGCTGGGCCACCGACTTCACCAGAGGGAGACAGCGATTTCACCAGGACTATAGATACACTCAATCTATTAAAAAAGTCATGCCCTAGGCAGGATTTTTCCTCCCACTGCCCCGAGCCTGCCTGGATGTGGCTCCGTGCCCTTCTTCCAGGGAACTCCACAAATCCTGAAGAAAACACCTTCATCTCCCTTCCCCCCTTTTTGAGAGATTAACCCCAGGAAGCCACCAGCTCCCCACAGAACCTATAATCCATCCCTACTGCTTGGTATCAGCTGCACAGCAATTAAGGGCCTGTTTTGCTTCTGGCTGCTGCTTCTCATCCAACTGCCCCGTGTCGCGTCGCTCGGCCCGGGTGCGTTTCCCTCCAGCAGTTCCCGCTGCTCTGGCACTTAAAACACACGTTGACCAAGGCAGGAACCACCTATTCATCACACTTCAGGCCTGGGCGTAGCATGAGGGGCAGAAGGCCCCTCCGAGAGTGAAAACAAACACTAACATTGCAGGACAAGCACTAAGCACCGGGCTGATTCGTATAAAAGATTTATTAGAAACGAGGACGCGGCCGCCCGGGAACGACTTGAGCTCCCAAACTTGTACAACTTAACAGCCATCATTAAATACAAGTAGCTACAAAACCAGCCTGCACCTCTATGAAAGAAGGGAGAACTCACCCTCAAGTGGCCCTTGTTTCAAACGTGGCTGGAGGAAGCATTTTCCCAGGGTGATTTGCACACGCCTGGGCACCCAGAGGAGCCACAGCTGTGGGGCTGGGGGGACTTGTTGCTTTCTGTCCTCAGAATCTTTTTTGGTCTTATCAGAAGAGTCTGTATTGCTTTAACTTCGAGAGAGAGAGAGAGAGAAGAGCAAATTGCTATGGCTTGACATTGCATCCAGGTGAACAGTTGGTACTTTCAAACCTTAGAATCACACCAGAGTGGGTATGAGCCTCTCACTAGTCTCACTTCAATGGTAAATAATAAAAATAGTGATAACAACAACACTCAGAGGTACCACTGTCACAGGAAAGAAGAGACCAGCCTCAATCAACCACCATCTATACATGAGAAAACAATGTATAAATAGGGCCTTGTTTATAAAAACCATTTCTTCTACTCGTACCTCAAGATCAGCTCCTGTCTAATCCAGGACAGGGTTTAACAGCGCCAGGTTTCAGCACATCAACCTCTGTGCCGTGACTGCAACTCAGCCACGTTACTATTTAGTACAAAACACAAAAAAGAAGGGTGAAAATACTCAAAAATACACCCGTTTCTCAATTTCCCTACCGCCGCCAGCTGGTG